TTCCTGATTTTTTAGGATTTTTTTCCCTGATTTTTTGGAGATTTTTTCCCTGATTTTTGGGATTTTTTCCCTGATATTTGGGATTTTTTTCCTGATTTTTTGGGATTTTTGTGATGGTTTTGGAGGTTTTTTTGGTCTTTTTCTGTTTTTTTTTGAGATTTAGTGTGGATTTTTTTCAAATTTTTTGGGATTTGGGAGAGATTTTGGGGAGATTTTTGGTGATTTTTTTTCTGATTTTTTTCTTGCTTTTTCACCTTTTTTTGGAGTTTTTTCTCATATTTTGGGGATTTTTTGAGGATTTTTGGGGGATTTTTAAGAATTTTATTCTGATTTTTTGTGGGTTTTTGTGATTTTTTTGGGATTTTTGTGACGTTTTTGTGGTTTTTTTCTGTCTTTTTTCTGGTTTTTTTGAGATTTAGTGTGGATTTTTTCCAAATTTTTGGGGAATTGGGAGAGAATTTGGGGGGATTTTTGGTGATTTTTGGATGGTTTCGAGTTATTTTGGGGTGAACTTGTGGCATTTTGGGGTGGATTTCTGGGATTTTGGGATGCTTTTGGGAAATTTTGGGGTGAATTTGTGGGATTTTGGGGTGGATTGGAGCTATTTTGGGGCAGATTTGTGGGATTTTGGGATGCTTTTGGCATCTTTGTGGTGCTTTGAGGGGATTTTAGGTTGGTTTTAGTCAGGTTTGGGCTGGTTTGAGCTGGTTTAGGGCTATTTTGGGGTGGATTTGGGCAATTTTGGGGTGGATTTGTGGCATTTTGGGATGGTTTTGGGCCATTTTGGGGTGGTTTTGAGCTTTTTTGGGGTGAATTTGTGAGATTTTGGGATGCTTTTGGCATCTCTGTGGTGCTTTGACGGGATTTTAGGTTGGTTTTAGTCAGGTTTGGGCTGGTTTTGAGCTGGTTTAGGGGGATGCTTTTGGCATCTCTGTGGTGCTTTGAGGGGATTTTAAGTTGGTTGTAGTCTGGTTTGGGCTGGGTTTGAGCTGGATTAGGGTGGTTTGGGGCTATTTCAGGCTGGATATTTTTCATTTTTGGCCATTTTTTTCCCGTTTTTTTTGTTTTTTGCCCCATTCTGGGGTCTCACCTGGGGTCCCCGTAGCAGCCCGGGGCGCAGCGGTCGCAGTGGGGCCCCCTGGTGGTGGGGACAGGCAGTGCACAGCCCCGCTTGGAGCCATTTTGGGGTGGATTTGGGCCATTTTGGGTTGGATATTTTTCATTTTTGGCCATTTTTTTCCCGTTTTTTTTGTTTTTTGCCCCATTTTGGGGTCTCACCTGGGGTCCCCGTAGCACCCCGGGGCGCAGCGGTCGCAGTGGGGCCCCCTGGTGGTGGGGACAGGCAGTGCACAGCCCCGCTTGGGGCCATTTTGGGGTGGCTTTGGGCAATTTCAGGCTGGATTTTTTTCATTTTTGGCCATTTTTTTCCCGTTTTTTTTGGTTTTTGCCCCATTTTGGGCTCTCACCTGGGGTCCCCGTAGTAGCCCGGGGCGCAGCGGTCGCAGTGGGGCCCGGTGGTGGGCGGCAGGCAGTGGCACAGCCCGGTGCTGCGGTGGCAGAAGCCGCGCTCGGGGTCCCCGTGGCCGTGGCAGCCGCAGGGGCGGCACCCGCCGAGCCCCCCGGGGCCGAAACTGCCGGGGCGGCAGCGCTGGCACTGCGGGCCCTCCGTCCAGTCTGGGGGAAAAACACGGGAAATTGGTTAAAATGGGAAAAATGGGGTTAAAATGGGCTTAAAACGGGGAAAAACGGGGTTAAAATGGGAAAAAACGGGGGTTAAAATGGGGAAAAATTGGTTAAAATGGGGTTAAAATGGGGGAAAACGGGGTTAAAATGGGGAAAAACAGGGTTAAAATGGGGAAAAACGGGGTTAAAAAGGGGTTAAAAAGGGGTTAAAAAGGGGCTTTGGGAGCCTCTGCCCCGGCGGCAGCGCTGGCACTGCGGGCTCTCCGTCCAGTCGGGGGGAAAAACGGGGGAAAATGGTTAAAAAGGGAAAAACGGGGTTAAAATGGGGTTAAAAAGGGGGAAAACGGGGTTAAAATGGGTTAAAATGGGGTTAAAAAGGGGTTAAAATGGGGCTTTGGGAGCCTCTGCCCCGGCGGCAGCGCTGGCACTGCGGGCCCTCCGTCCAGTCTGGGGGAAAAACGGGGGAAATTGGTGAAAATGGGAAAAACGGGGTTAAAATGGGGTTAAAATGGGGGAAAATGGGGTTAAAATGGGGAAAAAAGGGGGTAAAATTGCAATAAAATGGAGTAAAATGGGGAAAAATGGGGTTAAAATGGGACAAAATGGGATATAATGGGGGTAAAATGGGGTAAAATGTGTGTAGAATGGGGTTAAAATGGGTTAGGAAGGGTTAAAGGGTGCAGCCCGCTGAGGAAGGCCTTCACCTCCTGGGAGAGCTCCTGGGCGCTGTGGGGAGGGAGAAAATGGGGGAAAAGGGGTTAAAATGAGGGAAAATTGGGTTAAAATGGGGAAAAATGGGGGTAAAATGGAGAGAAATTGCATTAAAATGGGGTAAAATGGAGAGAAATTGCATGAAAATGGGTTAAAATTGGGTTAAAATGGGGTTAAAATGGGGTTAAAAGGGGGAAAATTGGGGTTAAAATGGGGTAAAATGGGGTAAAATAGGGTTAAAGGGGGGGGAAATGGGGTTAAAGTGAAGTGGAAAATGGGGTAAAATGGGGGTAAGGGGGTTAAAATGGGGTAAAAAGAGGGGAAATGGGGTTTAAATGGGTTAAAATGAAATAAAATGGGTTAAAATATTTTGGGGTGAATTTTGGGGTGAATTTTGGGGTGAATTTTGGGGTGAATTTTGGGGTGAATTTTGGGGTGAATTTTGGGGTGAATTTTGGGGTGAATTTTGGGGTGAATTTTGGGGTGAATTTTGGGGTGAATTTTGGGGTGAATTTTGGGGTGAATTTTGGGGTGAATTTTGGGGTGAATTTTGGGGTGAATTTTGGGGTGAATTTTGGGGTGAATTTTGGGGTGAATTTTGGGGTGAATTTTGGGGTGAATTTTGGGGTGAATTTTGGGGTGAATTTTGGGGTGAATTTTGGGGTGAATTTTGGGGTGAATTTTGGGGTGAATTTTGGGGTGAATTTTGGGGTGAATTTTGGGGTGAATTTTGGGGTGAATTTTGGGGTGAATTTTGGGGTGAATTTTGGGGTGAATTTTGGGGTGAATTTTGGGGTGAATTTTGGGGTGAATTTTGGGGTGAATTTTGGGGTGAATTTTGGGGTGAATTTTGGGGTGAATTTGGTGTAAATCACGGGATTTTGGGGTGGAATTTCTGTTTCCTGGGGGGTAAATTTGGGGGTTTTTGGGGCGATTTTGGGGCAAATTTTGCTGCTGGATTTTCACCCTCCCGGGGATGATTTTGGGGTGAATTTTGGGGTGAATTTTGGGGTGAATTTTGGGGTGAATTTGGTGTAAATCACGGGATTTTGGGGTGGAATTTCTGTTTCCTGGGGGGTAAATTTGGGGGTTTTTGGGGCGATTTTGGGGCAAATTTCGCTGCTGGATTTTTGCTCTCCCAGGGACAATTTTGGGGCAAATTTGGTGCATTTTGGGGTGAATTTTTGGGATTTTGGGGTGAATTTGGTGTAAATCTGGGATGATTTTGGGGTGGAATTTCTGTTTCCTGGCGGGTAAATTTGGGGGTTTTTGGGGCGATTTTGGGGCAAATTTCGCTGCTGGATTTTTGCTCTCCCAGGGACAATTTTGGGGCAAATTTGGTGCATTTTGGGGTGAATTTTTGGGATTTTGGGGTGAATTTGGTGTAAATCTGGGGATTTTGGGGTGGAATTTCTGTTACCTGGGGGGTAAATTTGGGGTTTTTTGGGGCGATTTTGCTCCCTTATTTTCACCCTCCCAGGGACGATTTTGGGGTGAATTTGCTGAATTTTGGACTGAATTTGCTGAATTTTGGAGTGAATTTTTGGGATTTTGGGGTGAATTTGGTGCAAATTTAGGAGATTTTGGGGTGGAATTTCTGTTTCCTGGGGGGTAAATTTGGGGTTTTTGGGGCGATTTTGCTCCCTTATTTTCACCCTCCCGGGGACCATTTTGGGACGAATTTTGGGGTGAATTTTGGGGTGAATTTTGGGGTGAATTTTGGGGTGAATTTTGGGGTGAATTTTGGGGTGAATTTTGGGGATTTTGGGGCTCACTCTGGCACTGGTCGCAGAGCCCCGGGCCCCCCTTCTCGCAGGAGCTCTGGAAGTTGCAGCTCCGGGATTTGGGGCGGATTTTGGGGTGAATTTTGGGGATTTTGGGCTCACTCTGGCACTGGTCGCAGAGCCCCGGGCCCCCCTTCTCGCAGGAGCTCTGGAAGTTGCAGCTCCGGGATTTGGGGTGAATTTTGGGGTGAATTTTGGGGTGAATTTTGGGGTGAATTTGGGGGATTTTGGGCTCACTCTGGCACTGGTCGCAGAGCCCCGGGCCCCCCTTCTCGCAGGAGCTCTGGAAGTTGCAGCTCCGGGATTTGGGGTGGATTTTGGGGTGAATTTTGGGGTGAATTTTGGGGTGAATTTTGGGGATTTTGGGGCTCACTCTGGCACTGGTCGCAGAGCCCCGGGCCCCCCTTCTCGCAGGAGCTCTGGAAGTTGCAGCTCCGGGTTTTGGGGTGAATTTTGGGGTGAATTTTGGGGTGAATTTTGGGGATTTTGGGCTCACTCTGGCACTGGTCGCAGAGCCCCGGGCCCCCCTTCTCGCAGGAGCTCTGGAAGTTGCAGCCGCAGTCCACGGAGCACTGGGGGGGCTCCTGGGCCCCCCCCGAGGAGGAATTTTGGGGGGCAGGGTTGGTCCAGCCCAGGTGACAAACGCAGGTGAAGTTGGGGGGCCCCGAGCAGGAGCCGTGCCCGCAGTCGGACAGACACCTGGGGGGAGAGAGAATGCCAAAATTCACAATTCTGTGCATTAAAAATCAAAAATCCCTAAAAAAAATCTGAATTCTGGGCACTTGGGATAGAGAAATAAACCCAAAATTCACATTTCAGAGCATTAAAAACCTCAAATGCCCAAAAATATCTGAATTTTGAGCACTTGGAATAGAGAAATGAACCCAAAATTCACAATTCTGTGCATTAAAAATCGAAATTCCCCACAAAAATCTGAATTCTGGGCACTTGGGATAGAGAAATGAACCCAAAATTCACAATTCTGTGCATTAAAAATCGAAATTCCCCCCAAAAACCTGAATTCTGGGCACTTGGAATGTAAAAATGAACCCAAAATTCACATTTCTGTGCATTAAAAATCGAAATTCCCAAAAAAAATCTGAATTCTGGGTACTTGGAATAGAGAAATGAACCCAAAACTCAAATTTCTGCACATTAAAAATCAAAAATCCCCAAAAAAATCTGAATTCTGGGCACTTGGAATGTAAAAATGAACCCAAAATTCACAATTCTGTGCATAAAAACCTCAAATTCCCAAAAAAAATCTGAATTCTGGGCACTTGGGATAGAGAAATAAACCCAAAATTCACATTTCTGTAGCTTAAAAACCTCAAATGACAAAAAAAATCTGAATTCTGGGCACTTGGAATAGAGAAATGAACCCCAAAAACCCCAAAAACCCCACGGGCCCAAAGCCCCCCTTGAGCTCAGCTTTTACCCCCAGTTTTTAACCCAATTTTCCCTCCAATTTTCCCCCAAATTTTCCCATTTTCCCCCGATTTTCCCGCTGCTTTTTTTGCCTTTCCCCGTTTTCCCCTGTTTCTGTCCCATTTTCCCCCATTTTTCCCGCCGTTTTCCCCCATTTTCCCCCGTTTTTCCCCGATTTTCCTGCTGTTTTTCCCCATTTTCCCCCGTTTTTGTCCCATTTTTCCCCGTTTTCCCCCGTTTTTCCCGCTGTTTTTCCCGCTGTTTTTCCCCATTTTCCCCCGTTTTTCCCCGTTTCTGTCCCATTTTTCCCGCTGTTTTTCCCGCTGGTTTTCCCACTGTTTTTCCCCGTTTTTCCCCGATTTTCCCGCTGTTTTTCCCGCTGTTTTCCCCCCTTTTTCCCCGTTTTTCCCCTGTTTCTGTCCTGGTTCCCCCCATTTTCCCCCGTTTTCCCCCATTTTTCCCGCTGTTTTTCCCCATTTTCCCCCATTTTTCCCGTTTCTGTCCCATTTTCCCCCGTTTTTCCCCATTTTTCCCGCGTTTTTCCCCATTTTTCCTGCTGTTTTTCCCCATTTTCCCCCGTTTTCCCCCTGTTTCTGTCCCATTTTTCCCCTAATTTTCCCACTGTTTTCCCCTAATTTTCCCACTGTTTTTCCCGCTGTTTTCCCCCATTTTCCCCCGATTTTCCCGCTGTTTATTTTTTGTTTTTCCCCATTTTCCCCCGTTTTC